GTCACTGATGCAGACAAAGCATATGCCTACAATCACCAGCATGCTCAAGCAACCAGGGTAATAAATCGGTCCTGTACAAAAAAACACCCTCGCAACCGTGTCCCCTCGGCCACCAGCACCACCACCATCAGCAGGGGCGCCAGCGGCATCAGTCACTGCCACAGACAAATAATACGCTTAAATTCACCAGTATTTTCAAGCAAACAGGGTAATAAATTGGTCCTGTACAACCAGCACCCTCACCACCCTACCCCCCCAGCCACCAGCAACATCACCATCAGCAGCAATATTGGTCACTGCCACTGACAAAGAATACGCCGACAATCACCGGCACGTTCGAGCAAACGGGGTAATAAATGCTAATCATTCCCCCTATCAACATATCAATAATTAGAATAAAAAATATTGATCACTGCCACTGACAAAGAATACGCATACAATCACCGGCACGTTCGAGCAAACGGGATAATAAATACTAATCATTCCCCGTATCAACAATCAATAATTAGAATAAAAAATCTAAGTGGCCATATACACTTCCCCCTATCAACAGATCAATAATTAGAATAAAAAAATAAAAAAAATCAAAGAGGTATCAGCAGACTGAAAATTAGAAGTATTGTAATGTAAATCTGGGGAATTTTTTTTCTACCAAGAAAGCATGCCACAGACTTAAGCAGCTACGTCAACTATGCCTGTCGTAGATAGCGCTGTCAATCTGATGAAAAATATAAAGGAAGCGTTGCTCAGCACTTGCTTCTGCCCGAAGCACATCTGCTACCAACTTTTTTGTAGCAGGTTCAATCGCTAATATGCGAAATGCCCCTCGTTCGGTCGCTAACATGCGAAATGCCCCTGGGTCAATACGCACACTGGTGACGCTGCTGATAGATACCTGGTCGTTGCCGTGAACAGGGGCCCAACGAGTCGCTGCCACTCGGCCAATTCGCACTGGCTCTGTTGCCATTGTCAGTGCCAGTCACTTGCCACAATCGCCTGCATGCCAGCCCGTCGATGTCAAAAGACACCTATTCATTCCGGCTATGCAATCCTATTCTTTCCTCCTTTTGACATAAACCTGGAGTGGAAGAAGATCGAGTTCAATCAATATGTATGACATTCCCTTTGCTCACTAAATGCTCCCCTGTTGGAGCGAAGACAAAAATGAAAGGGTCTGATTCATTAAAAGAACATCTGTCGCAACGCAGAACAGGTTGCTATTCAATGTCCAGTCGACCCCGGCAGTTCATAAGGCCCGCCTCTTTTTCGATTGGCGATACGAGGAACACAGGAAGAAAAGCAGCCAGTTCTCTGCTTTCTTGCTAAATCCTGCCGTCTGCCTGCATAAGAAATCATCAACTGCTCTGAGCAGCAACGAGAGTTGGGGGTTTGGTGGGGGGGAGGGGAGGGAGGAGGAATCATCTGCAAAGTTTCGACCGACGTGAAGAAGTCCTTCACAATAAATTGCCACCAAGCTAACCCCCCTCCCCCCCCCCCTCCTCCTCTCTCTCTCTCTCTTTCTAAGTTGTCCCGTGCACATGACCAAATTCGCACGGCGCACTTCTATGAGGGCTAGATAGGACAAGCCGGCGCCGCAATAAAAAAAAAATGCTCTGTCAGTTTGTTGCCAGGGAAGTACGGCAGCAACAAGGTGAGTGCATCCGCCTAGATGGAAAATGGCTGCAGATTTTCACCTCCTGTCCTTGCATGTCATCAAAGGAACAAGACTCGACAAGTTATCATTATCGAGCCCCACAGAAATCCAGATTTATTTTTTACTCAGCTGATTCTGTCGGGATTCCGACTTGTGTCTGTTTACAAACAGCTCCTGGGTTGTGGCAATCAGTCACATGGGTTGGGTACAACGACAGGGTTTCCATTGTTGCTGAACTTGCAGCAACCAATGATGATAAGCTGCAAGGGAAAACTACCTTCGTCATCACACCCCCTCTGCCTGAGACCGGTCCTTGCCACTTAATCCAGCACCTCATCAGTGTGGTGGTTCCCGCTGAATGTCCCCGTTCGTGGTGATGTTCGGAGATCTCCAGATCGAACTCATCTAAAGGACAGTATCGTGCGCAGCAGGTCCATTGAAAGCCACCACGTTGGAGTGGAATCAGTTGAATCCTCTCGACCAAAATACCTTCTTCTTCTTTTGCAGGTGCCCATCGTGTGGGCCCTGCCTTGTTACTGCCCCTTCGGCGAACGGAGAAATCACTCTCACGTTCCCTCACTTCTTTGGACCAAAGTCCGTTCGAGTTCTCTCAACCAAACAACACCACCCTCCTTTTTTCGAACCAATTTCTGCATGTCATCCTTGCTCAGGGACCATGCTAATTACCCTTCTCTGTATCGTTCCAATCTAACGGACGCCCCTCAGGACCGAAAAAAATACCCTCCTCATTCGCAGGGACCATGCTAATTACCCTTCTCTGTATCGTTCCAATCTAACGGACGCCCCTCAGGACCGAAAAAAATACCCTCCTCATTCGCAGGGAGCCATAACTTTTACGTGCCCTGTTCTCCTTCCCTTCGTCGACAGACAGGAAACCAATTCCACGGTCCCTAACGGACGCCCCTCAGGACCAAAAAACAATACCCTCCTCATTCGCAGGGAGCCATATCTTTTATGTGCCCTGTCCTCCTTCACTTCGGCAGACACGAAACCAATTCCACGGTCCGTAATGGGCGTCGTCCCTAAGCACCAAACAATACCCTCCTCATTCGCAGGGAGCCATCACTTTTACTTTCCCTGTCCTCCTTAACATTTTGGCAGACAGGAAACCAATTCCACGGTCCCTAATGGACGTCCCTAGGCACCCAAAAACAAAAACCTCCTCATTCGCAGGGAGCCATCACTTTTATGTTCCCTGTCCTCCCTTAACATTTGGCAGACAGGAAACCAATTCCACGGTCCCTAATGGACGTCCCTAGGCACCCAAAAAAATAAACCTCCTCATTCGCAGGGAGCCATCACTTTTATGTTCCCTGTCCTCCCTTAACATTTGGCAGACAGGAAACCAATTCCACGGTCCCTAATGGACGCCCCTAAGCATAAAAAAATACCCTCCTCCTTCGCAGGAAGTTTGGACTCTGAGAGCTTCGACAAGGACAGCAACACCACTACCTCAGAAGGACTCTCTACCACTGGTCCAACTTACTCTAACCAATTCTGGAGATCCACTGTCACTGCTGTCCAGGAAGCTACTCTGATGGAACTCTGCCTGCATTGTTTTTCCCAAAGAGTTCTCAAGAGTTAAGCCTTCGTCAAGGCTCACATTATATGAGTTCACTACGGAAAACCCAGAGTTCAGCGAAAGGTCGATAATTTCCCTCACGACAACCAACATGCCCTCCTCTTCAGCCTGATGATCGTCGCTTCGACTAGCTCTCTTCATCCTGTCAAGCTCCTTGCGACCCATTACATCCAACCTGTAACTTCGCTCATCTGTCTGCTCTTCAGGTGCCACCGTGGCCCACACTTCGATGGGTTCCTGCTTCGGCTTATTACAATCGGATGCCGTAGGACCCGTCGAGTCGAGAGCCCGGCTTCCGTCGTTGACTCGGTTTCCATCACCGACTGAGGCCGTCGTCCAGGCAGTAAGAAAATGAAAGAAAGAAATGAAAACAAATAGAAGTCAGAGGTCTCTCACCAGTCCAGCTGTACAAAACTCCATCCTCACACACACCAGACATGAAGCAGACACGATAAAATACGGCAACGCAGGTGCTAATTCTAGCGGAGAGGATGACGTTCAGACCAGAATCGCGCGGGCAAAACGGGGAGCACAGGTACAATTATTCTAACATTTGCAGAACACTACCAGGAGGCCAGCAAGAGACCGACGAACCTAGGTCGGTTGGCACACGCATGAACTATCGAAATGCAGACCTGACTTCGAATTTAGATGAAAGCAGACGAATTGCGTGGAGGGGACTGTCAGTTCCACGTTGATATCTCAAGGCAGGCGCCCTTCAAAAAAAACGAAAAAAAAGAGCAACCATGGCAGCAAGAGATTGGAAGTTTGGACCACGAGTGGTGTCAGGAAATAGCACAAGGCATGACTAAGGGCCTCACTCCAATACACAAGACGCTCTATGTGTCTGTCTGGAGCTCATAATCATCCCGATACATTCAAAATGTTGCACTCCTCGGAATGCACCTGGTCCAGAAAGGCGTCCAAATGCATGTCGAATGATGAGGTAGTGGAGCAAGGCCCTAGATGACATCCTCCCCCTAAAGCAAGGCCCTAGATGACATCCCCCTAAACACGGTGTTCTGAAAGACATAACAACCGACTGACGACAAACGACTGACGACAACCAACTGACAACAACCGACTGACAACACAGATTCACTGTCAGGATGTATGTGCCTGCTCATCAAGTCTTACTGACATATATACTTCCCTCCCACCATGACGTCGATGTCTGTGAAGGAAAAAAGAGAGACTATTCCTCACATTGATAGGCCATTCGGACTCAGAGACACAAGTACAAACAGTCTGCCTGTCCAGTCACTCTCAAGTTCTCAGCATGCCTCTTGAACCCACAGATCCAATCGATTCATGATAAGCAAGCACTTGACGTGAAGTTAGATCCATGGCTTTGCCATCGCGCCTACACCTTTACGACAGCTGACTCGTGCACAGCCCAATCTAGTCCCAGCCGTACACATACTAGGTCCTAATCACTTGGTTTTGTGGAAGGAATGAAGCTCATTACTGACCAGAGGTACAACCTTTTTTTTTTTTTTTTTTTTTTTTAAGAACCTCGTGGTTCTGGCTCCTGCCATTCTGGGGAGCGACAGCAACCTTTCTTTTCTTAATTCGGACCATTTCTCGTTTTATGTGTGTCATCCTTGCGCAGGGATCATGCTAATCTTCTCTGTATCGTTTCCAATTTTACCGGATGTCCTTAAGGACAGTTCTTATTCGATACTTAGTCAGTCAGCGACAGTCCGAACATCTTCCCATTCACAGAACGAGGGTTGAAATGGAGTAACTTGCGTGCATACAAGCTCTACACACCTGACTCATTTTCCGGCCGCAGCAACCTGTTCTCTCCCTCGATGGGGTCACATGTTGATGTTCTGGGCTTGCTGTCTCGGTGTTCGGCCTCGCTTCTTGTCAATTGCGAGCAGGAACATCCACCTGCATCTTGTTCCTCAGAGGAGCATGATCGAATATGCCCGGTAGACCCACCTTGGTCTCCGTCGACCACAATTTGCGACCATCGCCTTTCACTTTTGATATCACGGTCATCCTTTGCTTGCAACTGTGAGGAAGGAGAGCACTGGGAAGACAAACGGGAACTGGGAGGAAAAGTGCAGTCGTGTTCCGCATCCCACAAGCAGCTGCCTGAGGAAAGGGGTAGGGCAACGGGTGCTTCCTCCTCCCCGGTGGAGGCTGAGGGCGTCGAAGTGATTGGATAAGCAATCGGAAGTGGAGGGGAAGACGATCGGAGGCTATTTCCTTGTCGAGAGGACAGCGAACGGGATGAAGAAGTCGTGTTGGAGTGAGGAGGAGAAGTTGACGCAGATAGTGAAAGGGAACTCAAGAGGTTGCGACGCACCTGAGATCCTGCGCTTCGCCATGCCAAGATAGACTGTGAGGGGGAGTCACAGCCGCCGAGTGCTGTCGTCCTCATACGTGACACACGAGATGACATGGGAGGAGAACGATAACAAACAGATGATGGAGGAGACAAGGCGCCATAGCCTCCTTCGCTTGCTCGATCGGCAGAACACTGGAAGCTTCCAAACTCAGGGACCGTAGAGAAACGCACATCATCTGCAGCGAAGCGGGCACTGGATAAAGTGGTGGTCGTCGTGGGAATATGCCTCCCGAGTACTTCATTTGCAGAACATGCAAAATTGTTGTGGCTCCCTGAAGCACATTGCTGCAGGGAAGCCAGTTTCTGTACACATTCAGGGGTCGTTCCGTCGGCACTGGGCCCTGGGGACCAAAAGGGATAAGGCGACAGAAACGCCGGCTTTGAAAAAGCTGGAGGGCATGTCTTAATTTGTTCTAGTCCAAACGAAGGCCGTGCAGCAGGTCTATCAGTGTTGGCAACAGACAGGTACTCATCCGAAACCGCCTGACTAGCCGGCGTTTGAGAAGGAGACCAGGTGCCACCTTCTGCGGTCAAGGGTGACCTCCGAAAACCAGTTGACCAGATGGCAGATGGCCGGGAAAGCGGCGAGGAATCGGCAGAGCTCGAGGAGAGCGGGGACCAATAGCGCCTGGTTGCGCTCGTTGGAGTGCAGAACGCACTTAAAGTTTCCAACATGGGCCTCGATGATGGGGTTTCAAGTGCTGCATAGGACGACCATGGAAAAGGGAATGCTGCTGGCGTGGATGGGTTAGACACAGACGCGAATGGAATAGCTGAAGAAAGTGTTCTGTCTAAGCTGCTGGCTATGGTGTCATCTTCACAGTCCGGGTCCGTTGCTGACGGCCGCACGCGCATGAACTCTTGACATACGACAGGTGGGCCTCTGGGGCTCAGAGACCCCACAGAGGCTGGGGTGAATGGGGCAAGCTCAGGAGAAAGCGATTGATGCAAGTTCGCCTCATCCAAGCCACACATGCCAACAGGAGGCCGCGCTTTTCTTGAGAATGGGGATGGTGACGCGGCTTCTGCATGCTCATAAGGTGGCAAAGATGTCTCCGCTGATTTGGACACAATGCAGTTGCGCTGATGATCCAGTACCTCCCCAGTACGACAATTCGGCACCTCGTCTGTCATGCAGTAGTATCAAAGAGGAAAACCAAAAAACGGAACCAGAGAGGAACCAGAAAAAAATGGTAAACAACGGAAGGTATGGGGTTTCCAAGGCTTGAGTGTGAGGAAGTCACACACACACACACACACACACACAGAGACAGAGAGAGAGACACACACAC